GCTGGATTGGCAGTATCCCACAGTTCCACTCCGTATGTCCATATTGGTCTTGGTAAAGTCTTGTACAGTGATAGCTTTGTCTTAACTGTTAAAAGTCGATTTCGGTGTTAGAAGTCTTCGTAATAGTCCAAGTCTTGTATTAAGATGTTTCTTCCAAGTCTTGTAGATTCCACGTCAGTCTGCTGTCGAGATATAGTCCCAGGTATTTGACTTGAGTGGAAACTGGTATCTCTTTGTTGTAGATGTACAATGGAGGGTAATACTGATTTTTCAAAGTACATTGAGTGCATTTTTCTTCGTTCAGTATGGCCTCCATTTTTTACACCAGTCTTCGATAAGGTATTCTGGATGTTGGAGGTAGGTTGGACAGTATTCGAGTTAGAGGATAGGATTGCGGTGTCGTCGTGTAGGAGGTGATAATAGTGTCAGGATGTATTGGTAGGTCAGCAGTATAAATGATATATAGGATAGGACTAAGGATACTACCTTGCGGTACACCGGCCTATCTGTTTGACTTCTGAGAATTCATTGCCGCACCTCACTCTGAGACAGCGACCGGTTGGGTAGGATTTCAATAAAGATAATAAAGAGAGGGTAGGAAGCGCTTAACTTTAAACAGTATGCCTGCCGGTTGCTGATGAGATGGTTTCGACTACTCTAAAACATTTTTGGATAGTGGAATGTTGAGTACGGAAACCGAATTGGTGAGATGGAATGATTTTATAGGTGTCAAGGATTGGTATTAAGCGTTTTAAAAGGAGTCGTTCTAGGATTTTGCCATTGCGGGAAGCAGGATAATAGGTCTGTAGGATGAGATATGGTTAGAGGGTTAGTGAGCTTTTGGGATGATAATAATGACGGAATATTAGATATAGGATTGAGGTATATATTGCGGTTAAAAATAGGACGGCCTTGGTAAAATTTTAAAGTTGTTGACTGAAACTTTAAAATATCCTTGTCCAAATATATGGAATCATGAAATTTAACCTGGCTGGGTTGGTCTGTCAGACGTTTTTCGGCTACCTTCAGCGCTGGGTTTCTTGTTTCTCCTTCCTTACAATCCTAAGCAAGCAAGTATAGGCAGGCCAGGAGGATCGGTAACGAATTACAAATTTACCGTAAGTCTGATTGCTTCGGTAGACTAAAATCTTAGTACATTCGTAATATGGGTCACAATATGTGAAGTTTAGAAGGAGAGTGAGGTAAGACCTCCTTCCATGTCTTCGATCTTCACCTTTGCTCGAACTATGCGCTCGGGAGTTGTCTTGTTGCAGAAGTTTTATTGATCCATCTTCTAACCACAAGCCGACAGGGATTTAAACACGGCGAGGCAATACATTAACTCTTTCCATGCTTACGATATTAAACCTTTGCAGGAATGACGCGCTAGGAGTTGTTGCAGAACTTTTATCCATATTCTAACATCTTGGCCAGATATTGCGGATACCATGTCACTCATGGCCGAAGTTTCAATTGTGGCTGATTATTCACCTCTCACAGGACAATTTCTTCACCCGACACTTTCACACTTATTCCATTTTTGCACTTTTCGCTCGGTAGAGAAACGATTTCACTTGTTAACATCAACAATTACGACAATTTCATTAGTAGCATGTTTATATTAGGTTGTTGCAGTATTTAAACAATCAAAAAAAGAAGTCTGCAACAAAAAAGCAGCAGATCTGCTGTAAATACGAAGAGAAAAAGAGAACACGGTTTTCAGCTTGCACCGAAATAAGAAAACCAGTTAGGCTTTTTCCAAGCAGTAAAAGAAAAAACTTATCCGGCTTAAACAGGTAGTTGGTGGAATTTTGCCAAGGAATTCAGCCAATCCTTGAGGATTAGCATAGGATGAAAAAGAACGAGGCCACTTCATAGGGGAGCGACTAACGGCCGGTATTCTTCCTGGCGACAATGGGACCTTCTTCGGCTGCGATTCGAATCCGTTATTTGAATTTTACCAACTGCCCCAAATTAAAATATCACATATCAATATTTTTCTTTAATCTAGTTAAAAACTTTTATCGTAAGTTATACATTCTAAAATCCCGTTAAATGCCCCCATTTGACTTGCAGATATGATACATTTCCTTACAGTAGAATTAAAATTTTGAACAATTTACCATGGAGAAATTCCTAACCGGTTTGAAAGCGGTTTCTTCGGATTAGATTAGCTCTTCCAAGTCGTAATTAAGTATCAATCATTTTTAAACCCGTTAAACTCAGTAACCATTATGAAGAAAACGCTACGGACGTGATTAACGTTAACCTAAAACCTGTTTGCTTATAACCTCTAAAATGTAATTCTAGTCCTTTATTTGTAAGTTAACAAACTAAGATTCATCGCTGAAACATTTTTTCGATGGTCAGAAGAAATAACTTCACTTTCTGATGACTTCTCTCAGATAGAACAACCAAAACGATCTGTAACGATAAGATCATTTCAAAGTACCATTAATTTAGGCTTGTAAAGATTTACGGACAAACATTCAAATCTAAGCTTAGCTTAAAGTTAATATAAGCTTCTTATATTGGAAAGACCTATCAAAAATAGTGAAAACCGTCTAAAAAGTAACAGACAGTACCAACAGATATGTGGTCAAAGGTGGTTCGAAAAGATCAACCCGAACCGGGTGACCCACCTGAAATTTTGTCATTACAGGTCATTTTTAGTATGCACGTATTTTTTGGTTTGTTTTGTCAGACGCGTCTCGGCTTTCAAAGTGTAGACACTGTACACCTCTGAAGATGGCGAAACGCGGCCGAGAGTAGAATCCAGGATTGGTAAGGACCAGATTAGTTCTAGGATACCTTTTTTTACCAGGTTAATCCCTTGTCTACTTAATTACTTATTGTAAGGATTTACAGACAAAACACTAATGCTGGCAATAAGCTAATAATATTGAAAATGACAATTTTGAAGTGCATCCCTTAATATAGGTTCCTTGCTTATAACCTTGAGTCACTTGAGCCGCGCTTCAAAAACCGAAACTCGTCTATAGATCTAACCTACTAGTACGAAAGAGAAAATCATCGGTAACGACTTAATTACAGGTTCACCTGAAGACCACCGGAAGACTACTCGGAGATCCATCCAAATGTTAGAAAGGTGGCTTGTTAATATCGGAAAACCACCATCTTTAAAAATATGGCTTTCTCCAGGGAGAGGAAGTATCCAGGCAAAACACCAGATCAAAGACTAACCTGGAAGGGACATAAAGTCAAACAAATACAAATCGCAAAGGTCAAAACAAGTCTTGAACGAAGATTTTGTATTAAAACATAAAAATGGCACACTGGTTAGTTTCAATAATGGTTAAACACCTTGCGACAAATCGAGCCTAGTACAGTGAACAAAAATCAAGGAAAAGAAGACACAAAATAAACTAAAAAATCACAAAGCTTAACATCACAGGTTGCTTAACTAATATCAATAGAAGTAGCACCATGGCATCTTCAGAGGACGAAATGGGAACAATGGTGTCAGTCAAAATAAAAATAGAAGAAGAGCCTTTCAACTAAAAATTGGAGAGCTAACAAGAGATTTTTGGAAGAATAAAAACCTCGAAGCTAATAAAAAGTTCTTGTTATATAGAATGGCTACCAAAATAGCTGGGGTTAGATCCTTAAATTTTACCTAACGAAACCTCTGTACCCTAAACCATCAATTTTCCAGGCTGGCATGCATAGAATTGACTTCTGTAGGAAAAACTCAAAAAGGATTAAAAAGTGCTCAGACATTCAAGCAGCACTGCAGGCCTTAAGACACCTCTGCCTTCTGGTGCTGGTCTGGGAATGCTCCTGGGAAAACGCATCCAGGTAACTGCGATGTTTCCAGGACACAGGGACTGAAGGGAAAGAACATGCAGCCTTTACGTAACCAATAAATTGAGAAAGAAATGACCACAAACTGGAGGAATTTATTAGGTGACAATCAAAGAAGTTTTTAACATCCCCAACCGAAAACCAAAACCCTCCATTTCTCTTAGCAGGCAGGAATTGGTGAAAATATCAATGCTTTATTAAGGCCTCTGTCTATGTAATTAAGGCCTCAAAAATTGGAAAAAGCTGAGACAGAAATTTCCTTCCGGTCGAACTCTTGGAAAATGATTGAAAAGGTAGCTCAGAAAGTGCTTAAATACCTTCTGGAAAGTTCACTTTCTGGGTTGTGGCTATAAAGTAGGGTCAATTCCCCAATAGGTCTACTATGTAGCAATGGAAAAGTGAGGCCGAAGTCACCAGTGAGCCTGAAAGGATAAAACGCGTTAAATATTTTATTTTGCATAGCCTATCGTTTCTGGCCATTCTAAAACAAAAACCACTATAACGATGGCAGAAAACCGAAACGCATCAGCCAGAACAAACCAGATAGACTAAAATAATCAGTAACGACTAAATGATAGAATTATTATAACTCTATTATTCACAGTCCGTTTAAGGCCTTTAAATCGTGCTAACTGTGAGAAAAGTACGAGATTACATTTATTTCTTGTTACTCCGAGATTGGTCAATGCTGACAAGCGTAGTTTTGTGGCAGTGAGTTGAGGGCATTAATAATCAAACTGCTGACATGTGTTAAATTTTACAACCCATTCCTTTTCAAGAATATATTTTGTTTTTGTCGATAAAGACGTACGTAACGTTTGTGGTTTTGATATATGATTTAAAAAACACCACACTACGCCTAGTTCAACGCTAGCAGAAAGTTATCGAACGTGAAACCGTAAATGTCCACAGTACACTTTAGGAAGGCGTTTCCCGGCGTACACGAAAGTAAAAACCATAATTTTCTTCTTCACGCTGTCTGATTTAAGAGAAGGGAATCGTATGTGAAGGTTCGGGAATTTTTCCGGGGTACCGTTTTCCCTATTGTGGGGTTTTTCCTTAAGTGTCATCCGGCGAAAAAAGTCTCTTCCGCTGTCACGTTATCTAATTTCTAGGACCACAACGTGTCGCGTTATGGATTCGCTTTGTTGCTTTTTTGAAATAATTTTTTTCACCTGTGGGCGGCCTTTCTTTAGGGAAGCATATCCTGAACAGGCCTCTGGTCCTCGTGTAATAATAGTATTTGGTATTCATGGACTCAAGCAATGCCTCCTGGCCTCCACGCTTCGATGCATAATCCTGCAACAAAAACAAAGCACATTAAATAATTAATAAAATAAATAATTAAAGAGGAAACGAAAAATTATTTGATATATTGCACGACTTTAATGATTGTGTTGTGTTCTTAATTAGCGCATTATATCTTTGAAGGAAAATCTCTAATTATTGCCTTCTTTATTGACCATTAATTCAAGGCCTATATTTAAATTATTATAGAAATTTTTACATGCAACAGCCTTCTTCTTAAACCTTTAATTAATTAAAGTTTTTAGTTGAGATGAAAAAGTCAGTGTCACGAGCGGGGTTCGAATCCACGTTCTTCGGCTAAATACGCCGCTGCTCTACCACTTGAGCTATCGTGACCTCGATCCACTCGGACACTAACTTCCCATCTCAACCCCACCTTTTGAATTTTATCTAAAACGTTATTCACAATCATTTTAAGCGCCTTTTGAACCGCTAAATAAGAATTTTTATGATAAAAAATACACAATTTGAATTCAATTAGCATAAGGCTTTTCTCTTATAACTGTTTTGTTCTCTTAAAAATTCATAATTTTGGATTATATCGAAATAAATTGTTATTACATATTTTTCAATTAGTTAAGGTTTTTAGTCGAGATAAAAGAGTCAGTGTCACGAGCGGGATTCGAACCCAATCTTCGGTTAGATACGCCGCTGCTCGACTAAATCCACTAGGACACTAACTTCCCATCTCAACCCCAACTTTTGAATTTTCCCTCCTTTTGGTCGTTTTTCTTTTGTTAAATCATCGTAATAATCACTTATAAAAATAATAAATATATGTCTTTTAAAAACAAAAAACATCCAATAATTTCATCGAAGCCAATGTGAAAGCTTAATTTAAGAAAAACAAAAAATTTCAATTAATTAATCTGATCTAAGGTATTGGTTGAGATTAAAAAAGTCAGTGTCACGAGCGGGATTCGAACCCACGAACTTCGGCTAGTTACGCCGTTGCTCTACCACTTGAGCTATCGTGACCTCGATCCACTCGGACACTAACTTCCCATCTCAACCCCACCTTTTGAATTTTCCCTCCTTTTCGCCATTTTTCTTCTTCTTAATATGTTTTGTTATTAAAAAAATTAATAGGTAAGATTTAATAAATGAGTCTAAAATAAAAAGAATTACGCTTGTTTTGTTGATTATTAACAGTCCACAGTATTGTTTCAGTAGTAAATTAATTGCTTAAAAGTTAAATTTTGAAAATTTTGTAGATCTGTGTTGTAGCTGGGTGAAGAAACAAGAAAGATTGAAAAATGAAAGATCAAAAACGTTATCAACGCAGTATAAAATCCAAATTTATCATAGCACTTTTACTTGTTATTTATCTTTGTGCCTTGCACGTCATCCTGAATTATCACCATTGTAAATCTTACAGGGAGAGGCATAAAAAGGAGAAATCATAGCTTCTTCTATGGTTCTGGGGATGACTGTTGACTGTCTAAGGAAACCAAGGACTATAATTCAAAAGTCTTGGGCGATTTGCCACTGTTTTTCTTTGACTATAGAACACCATTCTAAGGACATCAAAAGGATACGTGTTAAAGATAAAAGAATGATAGCCAGGCGGCACTAAAACCCTCATCGCTAGTTAAGTCCAGAGAAGTTTGAGAGGGGTAATGATGAGGCTGTAAATTGTCCAAAGAAAGTTTGATCACGTCACTTATCGCCCTTAGACCCATCTAAGTCATACCGAATTGCCAAAAGCACAGATCCATGGGGTAAGAATAAGTCTTCTAGCTAAGAACCACAAAGCTAGAACGTGTTAGTATTACTCGCTGGGCACACAGAATCCGGAAGTAAGTGTATAGAGTTGGAGAAGCAGAAAAAAGTTTATTCTAGGGAGATAAAACCACCTCTTTTCTAGATTTCCAGGATGCCATTCCACTTCGGGTGTGAAGGCCTAGAAGGTTGAGACTGAAAATACACTCGGGAGTCCTTAACAAAGTTTTCGGATCTGGTAAAACGCTTCACTGAAGAAATACTGCTGAAGTTCGAACTATAATTGTAGTCGAATTGGTGAATCAACATTGCAATGTCCCTAGGCAATATATAGACTTATGCAGCAGAAAAAAGCCTGCGGAAATATTGGTACTAATTGATTAAATCATTTCAGTTGAATCATGAGCTCTGTTGTTCAGCCCTGAACCCTTTTGTAGCATACCATCTTTCCAAAAACGTAGATCCATCAGACAATGGCATAACGAGAAAGCCAAGACAGAGGGAAAAAAGCTCATCAAAGGACCATCGCATATACAAGTCATGGAACTACTAAACCTTTCACCTTTCAGAACCTGAATCCTTTTGGTTCATACCAAATTGCCAAAAATATAGAACCAATAGTGCAATCGGTTAAAAATAAGTCCTCGGTTCTATGGGAATGTAGGTTAGAGGCAAAACGATTCATAAAAATAATCATCGCATAAACCAACTAATACGAAGACTTATGCAGGCTGAGATTCCAACTCCAGTGAGAGGAAAATCTAAATCCTGAAGGATAAAATGGCATCTTTGGTAAGAGCTCTAGATAATGATGGAGATTGCACAATCGGCCAATATTGACGCAGTGCGCAAGGTCGTAATGAGGCTCCTAAATTAAATTATATAGTAAAACATGTCATGGGCAGTCACTCTCTTCTTCGGTCATTCCTTCTTCCAGAAACTCTGCTTTTACCAAGCAAAAGGCCCAAAGAGCTTTCATGACGGGCCCCCAGGAATTTAAATATCGTCCAAGTCTTAACTCTTCTATCAACTACAATTAATTAAGGTTTTTAGTTGTGATAAAAAAGTCAAAGGCAAAAAGGAGGGAAAATTCCTCGGTGGGGTTGAGATAGGAAGTTGATGTCCGAGTGGATCGAGGTCACGATAGCTCAGGTGGTAGAGCAGCGGCGTATCAAGCCGAAGATCGTGGGTTCGAATCCCGCTCGTGCCATTGACTTTTTTTATCACAACTAAAAACCTTAATTAATTGTAGTATATTAATTGGTCAAGCGGACCACGAAATTAGTGAATCTTCTACCAACCTGCTATGAGAGACCGATGCATTTTCTGGAATATAAACACTAAATATGGATAATAGCATTGCACTCTACCGTTTCAAAATAAAAGAATGTTAAAAATCTGCCTGTTCTAAATAATAATCCTACGATCTGGGAAAATTTGCCTAGACTTGGTCCAGCTTATTAAGATTTGCGCCTCTATTGAGAATTAGTTCGTTAATAGTTATTTCGTTTCCAAGCGAAAGAGGAGTAACTCTTCTCCTTGTAAATTTTTCTCTGTATGCCTCTGTATCTAGGATGCGACGATACCTCGTTATTTCGGTGCTCTTCTTTTTCTCTCTATTGCTTTTCCAACACCATTTGCAACGTTGAACCAAACCTATTATTTCTCTCGATTAAAAACCGGCTGGACCGCCTAGTTTCAAGCTAGAGGCCTTCGTGCTAATCCTCAAGCAAGATGAGCGGCGAAGCGGCGTTGGACGATTCCTCTCAAAAGGGAGAAAAGGTAAGATTTTATTTCCTTGGTTCCTTTCCACCATAAGGCCGTAACATGAACAGATTGAGAAATGTTACATTGGCCATTCTTACGCGCGAGGCCAAGCCTAAGCCTCCGGCTACTAGGCCGACCCAGGGCGTGGAAATCAAGCGGCATCTCGCCAAATAAATGCAATCGAATATACGATAATAATCTTCTTATTAGCGGTGTTGGGCGGCGTTGGGAAGGACATGGCTATTGTTTGCTCTCAGTTCCCATATAATTAACCCAATTACTTTGAATAGTCATGAGTGGAAGGTGGCCCCACCGTAGAAGAAGAAAAAAATGTAACCCGTTGTGTCGCTGGTAACGGGCTGGCATACAATTTTCGCAATCCTTTGGTTAATAGAAATGGAAAAATACCGGGTAAGATTATTGTCTTGTCCGAACTCCTGCAACAACTGCCTTGATTATTTAATCGTCTATCATGAAACCAGCCTGTCACGTGTTCTCCCTGTGTTGATTCTTTTGGTCCCGCTTGTTATGATTTGTGTCTCCATTGAGAATTAGTTCGTTAGTAGTGACTTCCTTGCCTATCATCGTCTGTTTATCTTTGCTCATTCTGTCTGCCAGATAGCTTTCAGCTTTTCGCCATATTAAGTGGAAGATTGTTGACGAAAAAATTAAAATTATAGCCTATATAGCCAGAGTCTTTAACATTGTTAACAATCCAAACAGTTTTTCATCGCTCAAGAAAATTGAGGTTTTACAAAATGACAGGGTTCAGGTTGCTATATTGTCATATTTTGGACAACGCACTAGACAGAGTGACATTGGTCTAAAATTTTTGTCAGGGGTACTAGATAAAGGCAAACAAATTCTGAAATACTCTTAGAGACAGAGAAAAGTAAGTACCTAAGAACATATACAACTTTGTTGTGGACAAGACCCAACCTGCGAAATCATCGAGAATTTTCATGAGTGCCCATGGGAGGTCTAAATCCAAAATGTGTTTTGGTTTACTGTCTTCCAGGCAGTGTATATTGTACATAGGAGAGGACCTAGGTTGTGTCCTTGCGGTACTCCAACCCGGACAAAGGAGGTATATGAAAAATCTGCACCATTGCACAATCTCTGCAATGGTCTGCATGCCACAAAATCTGCACTTGGTAATTCCTATAGGTCAAGTAGGAGCTTACGATCCGGTAATAATTGGTAAGGTTCGAGACGCGATAAGAAGTTTGGTGAGGTCACGGAGAATTCTTTCTGCAGTGATTCAATTATTTTGGAATTAGAGGGTTTGGTTGAGCTCCACAGTCTATTCTGTAAGTCCACAAGGGTCGGAGTCTTGTATATTAACAGTTTGGTCATAAGGGAAAATTTTGACCGTTCCTCTAGTATACTTATAAGAAGTTACATAGTTCGTTATGTTACTGTCTTTTTCAGTTGAGTGTGGTGGTTCCATATCAGTCTTTTAACGAAAAACATGCCTAAATATTTCATTGTCTGCAGTTATA